ACCTGATTGGAAAGGTTTGAATGGAAGGCAGGAAGGAGAATGTTTGTGACACTGGATTAGGAGCCAAAACTGGACTAAGGGTTTATCTTTTATGTTCATAGACTATTTTGGGTTGGAAGGGACCTTAAAGATCATCTAGTTCCAACTCCCCTGTCATGGGCAGGGACACCTTCAACTAGACCAGGTTGCCAGAGCCCCATCCAACTTGGCTCTGAACACTTGCAGGGATGAGACACCACAGCTTCTCTGGCAACCTGTCCCAGGGCCTCACCACCCTCATGGTAAAGAATTTCTTCCTTATATCCCATCCAAACCTACTGTCTTTCAGTTTGAAGCCATTCCCCCTTGTCCTGTCCTGTCCTATGTCATATTTTACTTACATTTTTCTTCATTGTATCGTAGTCTGGCATAAAAGTACTAAAGTATGTAATAGAAATATGGAAAATGTGAAATAACATATACTGCAAAATTTGCCAGTAGATGAAAAATCAAGGATGCATTATCTTCATATGGGATTAACTGCTTTGGAACCTGCAGTTGGCTCAGCAGATGAAATTCCTGACAAGGAACATGTTATGCAGGAAGTGCATTCACTCCCCCGGCCTTTCTCTCCAGTATTCTCTCCTCTGCCAAAGAGCAGCCTGCCCCCTCTGCCCTTACTCTAGCAAATGATCTGTTCTGGGGACTGAAGATGCTTTAATGACAAGAGCACTAACTTTGGAGTTAAAGACACATGATTAGATTCCACCTAAAGGAATCTGAACAAACTACCTGTGTCTGAGTCTTATAAGGACAACAGTACTTGCCTTTTTCTAGAAACATCACAAGAAATACCACAAGAACTCAGGACTGAAGCAGTTACAACAGAAGTGAGGATTTCTCACGCATACCAGAGATTATATCATTCTCTGCTTTCTGATTTTACTGTCACTGAAACCTCTTTAACAATTCACTACACAATTCCACATTCCAAAGGTCCTTCCAGACCCCTGAACCGTGTAAAGCAGGGTTGGCCAATCCATGGTTTGGGACTTGCAGGTCCCTGTTTTGTATGTCCCGGTGATGTGGATAGGCAGGGACCCCTTATTACTGCCCTGGCCAGCCCTGTCTGCCAGATCTGTTCACACATTCCACTGTCATCTCTTAACATGCTCTAGGCATGACAGTATTTAGTCATGGTAAGTATTACTGAGATTTCCTGTATTCTACTTTCACCTTTTTCATACAGGTACAAAGACCCTGCTAGCACAGCGAAAACAATAGCCATGCTCCTGGCTCATCTTAACCTGCTTAATCTTTCTTTGATGACCTCAGACACAGCTCAATTACAAAAATACTAACAGTTATGAGCATACTTGGTCTACAGGCACAGTATTTTCATGCAGTCAAATTTACCATCTGACTTGATGACTTCACTCACATAAGGTGACATTTTTACTTATGCATGGAACTGCAGCTTGGTCAATAATTCTGCCTTCCCAGAAAGGTTACTAGGCATGACTCAGTGGTTACAAGCAAAGTGAAAACTCTGAGGTACAAGAGTTGTCCAGCGTTCCACAGCGCAATAAGAAAACAGAGCCAGCAGCATTTGCAGCACTTTTTTTTTTAAATACATGATCTCATTTGTACATCATGGTACTGTACACCAATCCACCCCAAGCAGTTGCAATGTCCAATTTGTGCTTTAATCTGAGCATGTAGAAGGGAGTGGATATATAATTCATGCCTCAGATTGTTTTACTCAAGACTCTGAATCAAGCTGAAGTTTCTTGCTTTTAATATCAGATAGGAAAAGTTTCTCCAAAAGCAGAGTCTGCATATGTACAGTTGCTTCAGGACAGGAAATATTTTGTGGATATCAAACTCAGGTCTTTGTTTCCCTCTAATCCTATATTTGTCAGGTGAAGTTCCCACAGATGCCATTGAACATTGCAAAAAAACCCCTCTGTAAGTTATATACTACTGCCCTCTACTGCATTGTTAATTTAGATCATAAAGCCATCCAAGTCACACTTCCTGTCAGGTTTGTGAGGCTTATTCATGTCATCAGTCAACCAGCCCACCTGTACAGCAAAGATATGAATAAAGTATTCAAAGTTTTGGGGAAGAAAATCACAATATGTCTGAACCAGTAAGACTAAAACAATAAGGACTTGTATAACTGTATTTGTTAAGCCTCTCACCTTTCATCTCCCAACTTCATAAGAAAAACACAGCATCACAGTCATTCTAGAATTAAAAACACCCTCCAGTCAGTTCTATCTGTTCAAACACAAGCTGAAAAAAACCCATAATGGAAAACCTGTGGGATATGTGACACATTAATACCTTTGGATTATCTGAGGTTCACAATTCTCTAATGCTACTGACTGCCAAAGATGTCTACCAGTACAAAAGGCATAAACCTATACAAACATATTCCTTTCCCCAGGAACTTATTACTGAATGTGGCTCACATCCAGGATATGTCTTGGAATAAATAGCATCTGAACAAACTGTGTCAATCCTCTCAATTCAGTTCCCCAGGAACTGTTGTTTCAGTACAGAAAAGAGATTTCTGCAGGACATAAGGCACTTCAGACTTAAATTTAGTTCCTCCACTATTTACAAAGCACTCTGTGCACTCCTCCATTGCTTGTTTCTAATGGAGAATGGGCAGATTGAATGAGAAAGACTGTGCTGCATTTTTCTCATTAAAATGTGTTGAATTAAGGTCAGGTTAATAACTTTCCTTGGTGGCATCATGCTAGGGAACTAATTTCAAAATGATTACCTGAACAGAAGGCATCCTGAAAACTTTTTTAACACAGCATAAGCAAGTAAGAAGCAAACAAAAAGAAATTGAGTAATCTCAGTCTCACACCTCCATAAATTCTAGGACAATTAACAGAGAACTCCAAATGCATCATAAGACATCTCAGAAGATGAACCAATAAGTAATTACCGTGAGAGACACCGAGAACCTGTGGGAAAGAAAAACAGCACCAAGTTGACATTCCAGCTGAGCACTGAGGCAGCACGTTATTAACCACAGGAGACAAACTGTATTAGATCAACTTTATTTATATTATCAAATTTGACAATAAAATATTCCAAATCTATTGAACGCATTCAAACACAGGAACATATAAAATGCCAGGTCTCAGAATGTGTTCCATACAAAATACTGGTTAGTGTAGCAAAGTCATTGCCAAACATTCCCTGAATTTAAGAGGGCCTTGAACACACTGTGCTCCAAGAACTACCTTAATACCAAACATTCCTTCCTTTGGTCTGCAAATCCTTTGCAATTATTGCTAGTTATTGAAGTCTTCTGTTTTTATACAGAATCACACAGTGACTCTGAACCTCTTCAGAAGTATTAAAATGACAGCTGAAAGCTTCATCAGCATTTTTGATACATGTTGTCAAAAATAAGAAACACATTTGGTCCTCAAGACTAGTTTTGGTTTCTGAAAACATCCTGGATGAATAAAACAAAGCAAAAATTATGGAGACATAATTAGTGCATTAGGTATAACAAAGGTACTTCAGTAAATTCAAACATGTCAACTGTGCAGCTTGGTAAAGCACCTGAGTTAATCCTCTTCTGAAAGTGCCACATTCTCCCTAAAGATTTATTTCTTCAGAGCTCTCCCCCAGGAATCTCGACTGCTCCAGTGCCCCTGGCAGGGCTGTGACAGACACGCTGAGTGCTCTCCCCACGGTGAGGGAGCATTCCCAACACACAGCCAGGAATAATGCTTCACTTCCAATGAGAACTGCATCCTAACATGCAAGGAACTGCCAACGAAAGGGCTGATGATGAGTTGGTAGAAAAAAGAATTCCACCTTCTGGCCATAAAGCTACAGCCTGCAGATGCACCACATCCAACCCAAGTCCCACCAGAAGCACTGTGTGTGCTCCCACAGGACTCAGGCACACACATTCCCCTACAACAAGGCTTTACAGTGACAAACAGCAGCACAAACAAATGCCTTGAAAAAGTTTCAGCTTCATTTTACCTTATCAACTAACACAAGTTTATTTATGGAGACACTCAAGGACTTGTCTACTAATGGAAAGCTGATTTATAAATCTTTATGTTAAAAGATACAGTCAACTGATCTCAGAAACACAGTACTAGATTGCCAAAATTAGAATAAGAGTTGTGCTTTTTTTTTTTCTTTTCAGTCACAAAAAGTAGTATTAAAAAACTACTAAAGAAAAGAAAATAAAAAGAACAAGCATCTTTTTGAATCGTGTATTTTGGAACTTCAAATCACAAAAAAACCCTGAAGCTAAATTCTTGCTGTGAGACTGAAAATGCTACTGAGTAGGTAAGGATCTAAATGAAGCTTAGAAACATTCTTCAAATCAGGTTAAGAATCATTTACTTATGTTGTTTTCTCATTTTTTCATCCCTTGATGCCCACATGGGTATCCTGCAGTCCAGCCTCCAGCTCCACTCATTCCAGTGCTTAGTAACAGGCATTCTACTTCAGCAAGAAACACAGACTGCAATGAGCTGTTTCCCTTCATTTTTTCAGTTGTAAACCAGTAGTATAACAATTTATTCAAAAATTGAGTCAGACCAAGGAGGAGCTTTATCATCTTTGAGCAGTCTTGGAACACAAGTCTGAAGCTTATCCAGCTGACAGCCCTGCATACAATAGATCACCTGGCTAACAGACATTGTTTTGTGGGTTTTCTTTTTTTATTTTCTTCTTGTTGTGGGGTTTTTTTGTTTTGGAGTTACTCTGGAAAAGTCTAGGCAATATTACTGCTGAACTGTAGGTTCCTGGACAACTGAGGGTAAGATTATTGTTCCATTTTAAAAATCAGGAAAATGTGTATACTCCCTCAACATAAGTAAAGGAAAAAACGTGGGCAGGGTGGGACAGGGGGGAAATAAAGCTACATAGGGAAGTTAAAACCTAGGAAGACATTTAGCTCGTTGATGACCTTAGTTCAAGTTGTTCTGCATTTAGAGATTTCTGAATTAAAACTTAAAGCCTCAAACCTACCAAAATGTTTCCATTCTACAGTAACAAGAGTTCAAGCCCATCATTTCAACATGTCCTACTGATATGTCCAATGGCAGCAAACATTTTATGCATGGTATTAGTTAAAACTTGACCCTTTAGACAACTTCAGTTTCTTAAGTAGTAAGCCCTTAATAATTTGATGAGTTTCTGAAACTATTAAAACACTTTTCTTGGAGAACCTAGCATTTTGAAAGCATTCTAAATTGCATTTTCAGAAAACTAAGTGCAGTCTAACTGGATGACTGGTTTTAAAGCAAGCAAAAGAGAATCTCTGGGTGACACTTTCTCCAACAGGACTTCTGTAATCAAGGTTGTAAATATGATGGCCCTTAGGCCAGCACTTCTGTGGATGTCAGAGTTGAAATTATTCTTTTTTAACATTGAGTAAAACAATACTGTAGGAAATTAACAGATTTGCATGTTCAGCAATTTATAGAAACATTTAAGGAACAGCATATTCCAACTTCTTGAAACAGCAATAATGAAAATAACGGGAAATTACTTTTAGTCTTAAGCCAAAAAACATTCTTTTCAGTGGAGTGCAATGTTGATCCAATCGCTGCTTGGTCAGTACCTGGGACAGAGATGAAGTATTTGACTGAGAGCAAGGTTTATACTCCATGTGGCATCATGCTGGCTTCCATTCCCCACCCCACTTCAGGAAGTTCACTTCTCTTTGAAATCCTGCCCACCATCCATTACCATTTCCACTACAGGAGATGGTTTTTCACCCAGAAATGTAATTCCATACTGTATAGATTGCTTGCCAGTATTCAATTAGCTTTGATTTATGTGCTACTCCACACAGCTACAGTTATTACAGGCACCAACCAGTTTAGCATCATTCCCTCACTGATAAATAAAGCACAGGGTGAGAATTCCTCAGACTCCAGACTGTATGTCATCAGGGTTCTACAAGTTGATGAGCAAACAATTTCTTTTTAAAAAACCCAGAAGGACAGCTAATAAAGAAGTTTCAAGTAATTCCCACATTATCATTTTTCCCCAAAAGCTGTAGCAAAAGAAAGCTGGATTTCAACAACAGTAACACAGTTCCAGGCAGGCCTGTTCCCTGTCTTACCTCGTAGACATGTGCATTTACAAACTAAGGTACTGGGAACTGGGGATCAGAACATGCAAGACCCTTTAAAAAGTTTTCTGTGCTTTCCAAGTTGTTAATATCATTCCCTTGTCTTATGGGCATCCAAAACTGCAATCCTTCCTAACCCTCCCACTCCAAACCTGCACAGACCACACAAAGGACTCAGGTATCTATGGTTCCATGTAGTATGTGTGAGGGGCCGCACAGTCTCTGCGTGAAAGTCTGTGTGAACATTGGACGACACCACAGGCACCAAAATGCATATTTGATCAAATTTGCAGAATGTGAAAATTCCATGAAGCATCATAAACACAAATCAGAGACAAACAACATTTAGGACATCAAACAACTTCTTGAACACAACCTTTAAAAAAAGAAAAATAAATAATTCAAATATCTAAATATCAGGGGATTAAAAGGCATTTTCCCATATTTAAGGGAAGGCATCCCAGGTGAGGAAAATAACTATCGACACAAGGTTATCACAGATCAAAAAGCAGCTTCTTCACGTAGGCGATGGTCGTGTCGTTGGAGAGCATTTGGATGTGCTCGTTCCCCGGCAGCTCGAACATCAGCACCTCCTGTTTCTGCCTGCGCAGCCAGCGGCGGCACTGCAGGGCGCTCTGCAGGTTCACGGTGCCGTCCCCGTCGCTGTACAGGATGCGCGGCTCCCTGTCGGGGAAGCTCTCGTAGTGGAAGGAGTCGGGGGTGTCCACGCCGCTGCCGTAGAGGCAGTGGATGCGCACGCCCGGCGGGGCCATGTGGAACAGCAGCGGCTCCGTGTCCTGCCGCATCAGCCAGCCGTCCTCGAAGCCGATGTCGCGGTAGAACCGCCCGTAATCCCGCAGAGTGTAGTTGGCCGTGGGGGTGCTCACGAACACCTTGTCTGGAGGCCACGTGTAGTTGTACGGGAGCATCCAGTTTGTGGAAACTGCCGACCTCTGCTGGTCTCTGATCTTGAGTGAGCTGATAACGGGTATCCTGTTGTTGTCACCTTAGAAAAAGGAGTGGAATTCCATTATACATGAAGGGAAGCATAAACCTCAATCGGCAGCAATTACTAGCACTCAGCAATAACGCAGATAAAAAGTCTGGTCCCTTTGCTTACAGTGACAACTTGAAAAGTTTTTCCTTCTTTATGATGACCTTCATAATTAATTTCTGTAAACTAACCTCTAAAAACTTACCAATATAAATAAAAGTTGATGAAAAACTAAACCAAGAACACTGCTGCCCTTCCAATATGCTCCTTTGTAAAGGATGAAATATTTCCTGTGTGGGCCAAGTAAGAAATCAGATTTTATTAGGCGTTATTTAGACCGTTGGCAGGTTTTATCTTAAATGCTTTCCTGGAAAGGTGTTTTACGGTGTTTCTAGTACCCAGAGCATGTTTCTGCTTCAAGAATAAGCAAATACTAATGTCCACACACTTGTGGGAACTCATGAAGAAACTTTATAGATTTAATGAAATGTTTAAAGTTTTCTACATTGAAAACAAGCAGAGTAGCAATATTTCATACAGGATAGCTATAAATTGTTTATTTACCATTTGGCATAGCATTTTACCAGTTTATGCACATCTTTCATAACAAAATGTACAATGGAAAGAAAGTGGCAGATTCTTACTAATGGCCTAAAAAGATAACTGTCATAAAAGGAAACAGAAGCAACTGTTACTGTCTCTGCTTATGCCATCAAGTAAGAGTGCTGTCCTCAGTGACCAGTTCACTCTCAGCACAGCACTTCAACAGAAGAGCTAGAGCCTGTTAACTTCTGGTGGGAACCAGGAAAAATTGCCACTATCAGCAGCTCCCCTTCCCGTCAGCATGTCAAGACTGCTAAAACACTTGCACTTCTCAGAACACAGGTTCTCTCTAATGTGACCCTAATATTTCGTAGCTGGTTACTCTGGTAACATAAACTACATCTTTGCCAGAGGGGGGCAGATAAAACCACAATTCTTCAAAAAACAGTTGATAATGACTATACCTGGTACATGTTTTCAGCTGGTCAAGCTTTTACAAGGCATTACATTTTTATATAATGTTAATCTGGAGAGCTAGAGCTTAGCTCATTATCAATAAAGGTATTAAGTTATCTGATATCAAATAAACCACAAATTTGCTATCTTTTTACCAAATTTAGATTTACTTTTATAACAGAGCTACTGTCTGACCAAAGCATTCTTGAATTTTGTAGAGATCAAGACAACTGTTTTCTTAGCAGTTCATTCCAAAGATGGTTCAAACTAACACATGATTAAGTTATAATTTATATATATATATATATCTTTCTTCATGTTTTAACAGCTGTTCTTGCATCATCACAAAACTAAAAGCTGCTTCATAAGTGGATGATATAGTGATGACTAGAAGCAATTTATTTTTATTTAAACACCACTCCCCCAAAAAACCCAAACCAACAAGCAAAAAAACCTCAAAAAACAACAACCAAACCAAATCAAACAAAAAAAAATTTAAAAAAAAAAAAGCTTAGACAGACCGAAGTTTGTTTTTCTTGTTTTCACCATCACCCTGGCTGGCACACCTCAATTCTTTGTCAGCTGAACTTTGAATCAGATTATCCATTATTAGGTCTAGGTGGTTACAGCATGTAATGGTCCAGGTCAACCATGCTATAAAAATTGAAGTGCTGAAACCAAGACCACTATTCCTGAAAAATACACTCTGGTGCTATTTCAATTCCATAAGGTGGCACTAGTGCTTCAGCAAGGAGACATAAAGCACAGTCTTTAATGCATCTTCAGGAGTACATGGAGACATTGTTGGTATAAGTCTGAAACAGATAAAGGAAACTCCAAAGAGCACAGCAAGAATCACCAAGGTCCCAAAAACCTGTCTCATATTACGGTGTGGTAGCAGCACTTAACTGTGCACTCCCACCACCAAGTTACTGGATACTGCTTGGCAGTTCTCAGCAAAGAAAGCCCGAGTTTGAACTGAACAATAAGAGGACTGTGCACAAAATTTATTTCCAGTCGAATAATCAAACATAGAACTTGACTATTTCAGCCTTCTCTTACAGAACTGGTACAAAGTGCTTATCAAGTACTTTTCTCTGAAGTGATGCCCTACCATGTGGCCAAGACCACATTTAATTAAGTCAGCAGGCACAACACTCACATTATAGTGAACAAAATATTAGGTCTAAGGAAGACACTGCTCGTATTTCAACCTGACAAAAAAATAGAACCAAGCCACCACAGTGAACTTTGTGCCTTTGCCTGCTGTAGGAGGAACATCCTCACTTTATTGGCACTGCAACTGTAATGATACAAGTATTGAGCCTGCAAAGCACATGAGTAAGTAGCTGAAAGTATCACAGAAAATCTACTGAAAATAATTCCACCGTGTCCTGTTTACCACTTTGACAACACAACTGGATTTGACATGAAGTTCCTGGCCATTACATGTTATAAACAAGAATGGGAGCAGAAAGAATGCATTCATAGCATGCCTTGTCTTTCCTGAAGAAATGCAGTACATTTCTTTAAAGCAACAATTCTCCTACATACTAACCCTGCTAATCTTAGAAACTCTATAATAGACTAATGTAATCCAAGTGTTGATGCCTGATGGTGGTGCCTTACTTACAGGTATTTGAGATAGGACTAGCCTAAAACTGCACTCCGAGATTAGGTACTGCCCATTTAACTTTCCTACATGATTCTTAAATTTCTGCTCAAAAAACATGGACTTCAGTACAACAGACATAAAGACGAGAATATGATTACATTTCAGTAGAAATTTAACTATTCATTAAGCATTTGTATAACTAGCCATTTTGGATGAAATGCATTATAAAGGATAAACAAGGTACAAAGCACAAAAGTTTAATCCAACAGAAATCAAGGACTCTGGAATTTCATATAATCATGTATAATTTTATACAGCTAATATTAACATTGCTTACTTCCTGCCATTTCTGTAGCATGCAAACATGTCAGATGAAGCCTGTGGGAAAAGGGAAATCAATTTTTACAGTGCCATTGCAACACATTTAACAATGTGTAAATTGGATGTTTGTATTAAGTTTTCTAATTAGTTACAGAGTAGTGCACTACTGTTCAGACTCAAATGCCTTTGCTAAAGCAAAGTATTCTTTGCTCTGTCCAGGCAAGGCTGACACTTGCTGTGTGTTTTGCATTTCAATGAAGTCCAATTTTTCATGTCAGCTTTGATTAGGAAGAAGATAGTGATATCCAAAGCTAACAAGTCAGAAGTAAGCTACAAAACCAAACCAGAATCATCAAGAACTAAATGCCAAAGCACATGACATCATTATGGTATCACATGATGGGGTAAGTGAACATTTTCCATCAGTCATTTGCAGTTAATTAGTGTAATACATTATGCTTCTTTATTCAGTTTTTTTTTAGTCTCAAGCATATCCAGTGTGCTAAATCCCAGACCTCAGTCAGCAGTGTTACAAATTTCACCTGCCATTTACACTGTAGGCACCACTTCACTGCCATGTCTACAAGTTTCCCTCAATGTTAACCTCAGGCAGCTGTGATCCTGAATCAAAGGAAACTCTGGAATGCTCTGGAGCCCCTGTTAGCTTTGCAATCCTGAACAGAGCAATCAGGCTGGAGGCAGAAGTGACAGAAACAGAAAGCATGAGGCCAAACAGCAGATGACAGAACAATCTGCAGAAAAGAGGTCAGGAGGGGTCAAGAGGGGACATAGCTCCTGGTTACAGGATGGGGATAAATTCGGTCCACGCCCACAAATAGGAAGAATGACAGTCTGGTCTCAAGGTTTGACACAGCAAGTTGTCATCACTTAGGAAAAATATTTTTACCTTTGTAGTACCTTAACCTCTCCTCCTCCAATCTCAGAGTTCCCAGGCTAGTTCAGTATCATGCACTGTGCACCAAAGGCAGTGCCAACCCCCAGGTACCCACCTGAGGCCAGCACACGGAGAGTTTTAGCCACCCCTCCCCAGGGAGCGCCCAGTGACACATAATCCTTGATGTACTTGTCCTTCCAATCCTGAGTCTGCTGGTTGAGGAAGTACAGGGTGTACATATTACCCATACTGTGGGCAATTAAGACAACAGGACTTCCATACTGCTCATACATTAACTCGATCATCTTGCGAAGTGCCACAAAATAGTCTCCATTCTCATCTAAAACATACAGATTACACAGTTAGAATTATTAATTGTGAATGCTAAACTTTAAAACCATAAGCTTTTAAATAATTGCATTAAACTGTCTATGGAATTAATATTACAGAGCTTATAAATTCCAATATTAAGTGGGAGGAGGGTGGGGTTTGTGGGCATGTGCTTTGGTAGTGTGTGGGGTTTCTGTTGTTTTGCTCTGTTTTTAAGGAAGTTTTAAGTGGCCACTCGTTTAAAGAGGGAAAAAAAAAAAAAAGAAACCACAACAATGAGCTCATGTCTGGGTCCTGGAGTGCCCAGGCCCCAAGAACCAGTCAAAATTAAGTATGATTGTACAGGATGGGAGAAGAGACTCAAAACATAGGTGCTGGCTAGGAGAGGCAAAATTTTGTTCAAGTAACAGTATGTTATTTACTTGGTGCCTTTCGCCAGTCATAAGGTGCTCCTCTTACATCTTCATCACGTTTGTAGCCCCAGTCTACTAAACTCTGCACCAGCATATAAAAGTAACTTCCTGTAGACAACAGATAAGAGAACAACAGAACAGTAGCAAGGTTAGTGTTACAAACAAACTCCCTTTGGAGGCATTACCTCTGATACCATATATGCACACATTAAAACTGCAGGAAGCTACGTGCACATTAAACAAAATGAGATGTGCCCACTATCCCCCAAAATTGAGAGAATGCTGCTATTAACACTTCCTACTTGGTGGCTGATCTCTCAAAAATTTTGGCAGCAAAATCTAGCATACACAGAGGGGATAAATTTTACTCAGTAGAGAAAAATTTACTCCTGAACTGTAAAGAAAACACCTCAGAAGTTACTACATTAGAGTCCTAACTTTTGCTGATTGCCAATTAACTTCAGGTAGGGTATAATACAAATTCATAAAGGTTGGCCTGGACTTCAACATTTATTCTTGCAAACCCCAGGGTAGAATTCTGGAAACTACCACAAAACTATTTTTATATCTCTCAGGTAGAGGACTAAGACTGAAGTAACTGAACATAACACTTTAATAGCAAATAAGGGAAACAGTTACAGACTGCATATTGAAAGATGTCACATATGACAAGCTTTGACACATAGGATTTAAGCATTACCACAACTAAATGCATCTAGAAACAGTGTCATAACATCCTACTGAGCATCACAGTCATATCTAAGTTTTGAGCAGAACCTCACTCATTAGTCTTGGATGTTTATTACACAGTCCCTGAAGTGGAGAACTTTAAAGGTGACCCTATTCTAGTTATAAGGCTCATCTGGTGCAGATCATTAAGCACACTGCAGCTCCCTAAAGAGCAATCCTTGTACATACCAACGCTCCTTTTACTCGGGTCAAGAAATTCCAAAGAAAACGTCTGCCCAAATCCTGGGACTCTGATATCCACTCCATCTGGTGGTTCTGTAATCTTACTTGTTCGATTATACACCAGCCTGGGGCAGGGGGGAAGAGGAAAAATAAAGAAAAAACCCATGAAACCTGTTGTATTTCCACATGAGACCTCTCAGCTGTACTGGAAAGAGACTTCTAGGGCTGCCTGTAAAGGACCCTATCTGCTAATAACACCAATGAACCACACCAAGGTTGTGGGTTCAGTCTCTATATGGGCCAGAGATTGGACTTGATGATCCTTGGGGGTTCCTTCCAACTCAGAATATTCCATGAAACGTGATCCAAACCAGTCATTTCCACGTGTCTAGTGGTAGAAATTGGTCTCAGCTGCCCAGGAGTCTGTTGCTAATGACACAGTGCCAGCAGAAGTTCAAGCTCACGTTCCTCCTGCCTGTCCCCTCTGAGCTGCCCGAGGTACCTCCTTCCCCCTGCCTCATCCAAACCTCAGGAATTCATCACAGAATGGGCAGGACCCAAAGAGACCAGTGGGTCATCTGCTCCAACCTCCCTGCTCAAGCAGGGGGTCCCTAAAGCACATGGCACATGGTTCTGGAATATCTCCAGTGAGGGAGGCTCCACTCCCTGTCTGGGTGATCTGTCCCAGTGCACAGTCACTGCACAGCAAACTTCTTCCTCATGTTCAGGTGGAACTTCCCAGGTATTAGTTTGCCCATTGCCTCTTGTCCTGTTGCTGGGCAGCATCAAGAGCATCAGAAAACATTCTCTTGAGAAAGCCCACAAAGGTGCCTGAGAAGTGCTCAACCTACACTGGGTAACTGGTAGAAGAGAAAGTAGAAGCCAAGAGAACCTCTGCTCCTCATCAGTGATGAACAGCTGGCTCAGACACAACAGAGCCACACCTTCAGAGCCCTCCTGTTAGTCCCAGCAGAATTCCAAGCCATTTCTCTCACTAGTCTTGAATCAGAAAAGAGAGTTTAAGGCAGCCATTCTGCACGTCAGCCTGAGGAAAGGCACTAACTGCAAAGAGCAATGTTTCTGGTCTTACCTGATATTATCAATCCAGCAATCAATGATGACAGGCAGAAGCAATTCCAGATTCAGCCAGAGTGTAAAATAACTGTCAGTCTTCTTAGAGCAGAGATAGTGCACTACTGATGGCTTATCTAACTTCGCTTCCAACTGATTACCTAAGTCGCCTGGAACTGAAAAATATAAAAAGGAAAGAGGAAAATATAAAAGGGAGACTTAATTAAAGCAAATAACATTTTACATTGCAATATACATATCTAAATACTGTAGCCCTCATTTGCATCATCACTGCATCCAGAGACACTATAAAATTTTGTAACTGGAAAAAAAAAACATTATAGAAGAAGAAAGTACTACATGTACATTTTCCACTGAAAATATTTAGATTTTAAAGAATCAGTAGCTGAGTAATCATTACATAGAATAATTCTGGATCAACAGTTCATAACTTCCGAGAGGACTATAAAGGAACATGTCACATTAGCCCATTGGTATGAGAAACAAAGATTGCCTTGGACATTACCAAAATTATCTGTGTTTTAAAGTACAATCTTTCTGAAAGAACTTTTTCTTCAGTGTCACAACTGCATATAAAAGTCTTTGTTCTCTTTAAACAGTTGCCTGCAAACTATCAATTTGAGATTAAAAACATGAAAAGTAAAAGATCCATTTATATTTTATCTTCCCTTCTTCACCTCCAACCACACTTTTGCAACACAAGATGTAGTTGGCTAACAATGTCAAAATACAGTTTCATATCTCTTACATGCAGGCTTGGATGCAACAACAGTATTGCTCCTCACTTTTTTCCTCTGTATGCATTACGACAGTAATACTTGGTCTTGTAATTGCACTTTCTTGAGGCACATACTAAATGCCAGTATTCCTTTGATTGAGGTTTATTTTTTTTTATTTTTTAAATGCTAGATGGAAATAGGAATATTTTTCTAAATTAGAAAAATACTTAACAAAACATTCTTACAATTTTCAGCAGCAAGTTTTCAGAGAAACGTCTTACATTCTGTTATGGTTAATCATTTTTTCCTCAAAAAACAGAAAGGCAAAAACATTTCAGCATCTGAAAAGTTTTTCCATGTGCGAAAAATTTAGAAGTAAGGCCCTTCTTAAGGGTTTTCCCAGCATTTTTCAGCTCCACACAGCCACCTTTTTGGGGTGTGCACAACTGTATCCTATTTACTTGCTGATGTTTAATTCTGAAGTTTTTTAATTTCTAACCCATACAGTTGTGTCCCCCCTCCCCCCACCAAGTTACTTAATCAAAACAGTTTAAGCTCTATAAAACACTAATACTTAGCAATAGCTTCAGGAAATAGATATCTTTTAGTGGAACATTTAATTTAACTGTGCTTTTTAGAGAAACACTTATTGCAGAACTGAAAGAGGACAGAATTTCAAACTACAGACCTGGACAACCGCAGTCCAAAACACTCCCTAACCACTGCAGATTATGCCTCACCACAAGGATTTCTTTATTAACCACCCCTACTTTCTCATTAGGTTTCTAATGGTGTTATTTTTGTAGCCTTAAGTGAAACGTTAAGAGTCCCAGTAGCTGACCATGGTTTATTTTAGGTCATATTTCAAGGACTGATATGCTGGAAAGCATAGTAAGGGAGATTATAGGATTGCATCACACCCTAGAAAGAGTTTACTGAAGTTCAGTCTTGTAACCTCACAAAATGCTACTTAGTTATTGCTTAGAAAACTAAGGCAACAGCTTGTTCCAGCGTCGTGCCTCTGCTGTATCAGTGTTTTTAATTAGAAAGGAACAGAAGGTAATTCTATGTATATCAATCATCGGTGACTGGCAGCTTCAGCAGCAGACCTGCCAAGCACGGAACAGGTTGATTTTGTCTTCGGTTTCAATGCAAAACAAAGAAGAGCAACATTTTGTTCTATCCTGGAATCTCATTTCCTTGGGTAAAAATCAAATCCTTCCAGCAAAGATACCTTTCAAAGACTTAGACAAACAGCTGGAGTTTGAAGGACTTGCTGATGAGCGAGTGCAGTTAAAAACCCTCAGCAACTCCAGCTCAGAGTAGGCAAACTCACAACTGAAGAAGTTAAAAATTATAACCAAGATACATTTACCAACAAAAGTGCTGAAAGCAGGAAACTACAAAGTCTCACTTGGACTTAATGGAGTAATCTTAGATTAACTGCAAGTTTAATTTAGTTAAGATATTTTATCTTCAAGCTTCTTGAGGACAGAGGCTGTGCTCCTGTGTCCAGTTCAGGGCAGAAGATGAGAAACACGACATACTGATTTTTACTCAAGTTGATGATAAAGAACAAGATGAAAAACGGCAATTTCTGCAATTCTAAACAAAAGATAAGGGACAAGTTCCACCTGTGCCAAGATACATCCTGGAGTTAAAAAATAAATTCTCGTGTACATGTATGAGGCCTGATTATTTATAAAGCAGGGATTAACAAAAATGCCTGTCATATTTACATTTCCATATTAACAGTGAAACTGCTAATCACCATAATTCACAGCCGGGGTTTTTATTTTTAAAGTATATTTGCAAGCTGAAGAGGGTTCATGATGAAGCTATAGGAAATAAAATACAAATTTTGATTTTTGAGATTATGGAAAGAAATATGCAAGATCTTCAGTCCTCAACCCACCCAGTTTAACAGTGTTAATGATTTACCTTTTGGCTGGAGAACTACTTGGTGGCTTTTTGATAAGTAACAGGTTAAAAAAATATCACATTGAAGATTAATTCTGTAAATTAAGGGCATACCTCTCCAAATTTTCTATGATGGAATTTAAAAGCAGTAGAAAAACATCTTTCCCTTTGCTTTCAGGCCATACAGAGAAAGCATCTGTGGGCAGAGTTATCTTTAAGCAATTTTTCTCCTCATCCTCTCATCTACCAGTATCTGTAGTTTCTAAGCCTTTTTGCTGGAAACATTACATAAAGTTCATAGTTTTTAAAGCCTGCAGACTGATCCCAAAATAACTGGCAAGGGGAGTTCTGCAAATACATCAGCACTAGTTAAAACTGGATGTCCAAGAAAAGATCTTCAGCAGTACCCTTGCTTCCCAGCTTGCAGTTGTGTAATTCCTCTCTTGATTTCTGAACTACAACATTTGGAAATATGAGATTTCATATTCAGGGAAAAAAAAAATAAAAGGCACTTCCATCAGATTTCTAGCACATTCTCATTTTTCACAGACAGTAATCCCAACAGAACTCATTCCAATACGCTGATGAACCCAATTCATTTCCAATATTATAGTATCCTTGGCTGACTTTTTTCATCTCATCTGTCCTGACAGAACTAGTAGATCTCCTTTTGGGATGGGTTCTTGTATGTTTACACTTTATGGAAAGCACATTTACAAGTTTCATTGAAGAGTGGCCTCGGAGCCCGTGAATTACAACAACCAGCTTTAGGACACATCCATACTCGTGCCTATCACTATCCTTAAGCCTTAGTGACAGATTCACAGTTCCCATCAAAAGACTATGAGCAAACTGCACCTTTATAGTGACTTGCCTTAATACTGCTCAGATAACAAAGACAAATGATCATTCAACAAACACCCTGAATAGGAGGATCTCACATTTTATCTGTTAAGAAAAATAAAATAATAATTAAAAATAGTGCCTACATAATAATGGGGTTGGGGGCTGGGCTATTTTTTGTGTGTATGTGTGGGATTAAAAAAAAAAAAAAAGACCATCAGTTGATACCTTTTTTACTACTTTTATCTGAAATGCAAATGCTTTTGAGTATTTATCAACTATTATAACTTTTTAACTGGCATAATTTCCTCAAATAACTGTCATCTTTTTGGTTCTATAAATTAGCATTCCTTCAAAACAAACCAATTTCCAACTTCCCTGGCAAATTAATGTTAAACTCTGACCACAGTTCTCTAAGGAGAACATCTCCAAGTAGCTCACAGACACCACAGAAGAGGCCTGTGTTTAAAATTAGGAACAAGAAAGCAAACAACATCTCACATGATACTTCCAGATACCTTGGATCACATGAGGCATAAACATTTAAAGCACTCCTGACATCTAGCCAGCTGACCATACAAACATGCACACCTCAATTAGCAGTCAGCAGGAATTCACAGGCAAAGCTCTTTTACATGTAAATCAATTATTAACAAACTTCATTTAGGTGTCTTTCTAGAAAACTTTAGCCAAGTACCTAACAAATTGTTTGCAGAAGGTATCAGAACATTGATATAATAATTGTGTTGAGTCAGCTGTAAAAGGTAAAGAGTTCAGTGAATCCAATGCTGGTCTTATAAGGACGGGTTATCAGCTCCAAAAATTTCTAACACGTGAGATAGTATGCAGTGATTATCCATGGGCTATGTGAGAAAATGCAGGAAGAGCAGCCACAAAATAAACTACTTCTCACAAGCATTAGAAGACAAGCCTGTTGAATATAACCAAACTGAAGTGCAAAAAAGTTCTGATTCATGTAAACATGAAGCAGATACACAGAAGGAATTGCACAGAATATGTATATATTTAGTAGATATTGTCAGTAGAACAGAAGTATTTGGAGGGTTATTTTGGTTCTTAAAGGAGATTTTTCTGTATAAATATATTGTCCTGGCTAAACAGAAAACTCTTTAAAAAGGCACAAAAGCAAATCAGTATCTTAATTAGTCCCCTTTTCCCCAAAAACACTTGAGAGAGGAATCCAAGATAATCACCCTAGATTTTAATGAGCATTGTGCTTGATATTCAGCCAGGTTTCTGGACATAAGGCTTTGACTTTTGCCTGTTTCTTCTTCTGTAAAATCACTGTTATCTGAATACACTTGATGCTTTGTTATCCAAATCTCAGGGAAAAGTGAGCAATTGCATTGCAGTATTTTGCTGGCAGTTACTACCCGTGCCAGTTTGGTCCCCTGTTACGTACAAACACGAGCTCCAGGCACAGCAGCTCCTGCTACCAAGGCCCCCTGATGATGCAGAGCCCAGGTGAAAAGCCAACCTAATCCAAACGGTGTGGTGCCACTCTCCACATTCCTCGTGCCAGCTGCTCCACTAAAGTAAGTCAATCACCACATTAATCACTTCTAAACGTTCTCGTTCTCATGCATTAGCAAGTCAAAGGACCCCATAAAGTGGCCAATAAGCAGGCACAAGGAAAGCTGGGTGAGCACTGAGCTCTTGGACGGGCCCAGCTTTCCACAGAACCTCCCTTCACCTGAGCCAGTCAGGGGCCTCTACAAATCTGAGACCTGTTGCCATCACAACCACGGCCAAGAGTTACCAGGTTGTATTCATGCAGCTCATGTATTTTCAGATGTGAGATTTCTTGAGGCAGTATTTTTGTTGGTGCCTGGGCAGCAGAACATAGTTACCCACAAGCAATGCTCGTGCAAGCTACTGCTCTGCTTCCTCCTCCATGAGTTGGGTAAGCACAGGCTGCAACTGCAAAGTGAGGTCATTACAAAAAACAGTTTGAGAGCAAGCTACACTGGGTCTTGTGACCATCACTAGTCTAAAACGCTTATGAAGTGTCATTATGTTGACAACATTCCTTTAAACAGCATCTCTTCTTTCTTTATTCTTTCAGATCAGGTGGCCGTGTTGCTACACACAGAATAAGACCAAACTTGTTAACTCCTCTTTCTACTGAAGGGTTTTAGCTTCCAAACAAACCAAGTGTAAGTGCTTTGATCACGAGATCCTGTTTGCTACAAGACAAAAACATATGTAGAAACTGAACATATACGAGGAATTAGGAATCTGGATGCCAGCCTGATAAATCAGGGGAATCAACTCTGTATTCCCATCTTGTATGGGCTCCAAAATCATCTCAGGCTTGTATGGGCCTGTATAATGCAGCCCTGCACACGCTTCCATGTCCTTTTCATTTGTGTTTCCAGGTAATGTGGGTTTTTCTTCCCTCTCTCAAGCACCTGTGTTAAGCCAGCACTTAGAATACTTCCCTAAACAATTCCACTAAACCCCTCCACCATCCTCACGGCAGTAATTCTCACGTACGTACGCAAGAAGGGTAAAGAAAAGGTCACAAAAAGTTAACTAAAATCAAGATGAGAACATTTCATCCAGAACCAGCAGCTGACCGACAGTTACTCCTTCCTCTCCTTTGTTTGTTTGACCTTCACTGCCCATGTCATGTCTAATCAAAACTAAGCCCTTACTGCAGGTTACAAGAGTAACTGCTATAAATCAAAAAACCATAATATTTTACAGTAGGAAGTTACAGCAAATCACTCCCCAAGAGTACCTGCTTCCTCAAACATACAGGCAGCCCAGAAAAATTACATTAGAACCCACTGAATCTTCACCTTCTGGACAGGTGAGGACCAGGCAGCGGAAAACAGTAAACTTTAAAACGCAGACACTGAAGAGAATAGTAAGAGATGCAAGTTCTGTAGTGTTTGATGAAAACTGCTGGTTTACAACAGCAAGACAGTCTGTTGTAAAGCACTCATTGCTAAATGTGTGCTCAGCCAGAGCGTTTACCAGAAGGTCTCTTAAGAAAACGTAGGTCAGCCATGGTTCTTAAAACCATCCTTAGGGAACATATATACTTACAGCAGATCCATCAGTAGTAACTCCACGCTTCTACAATCAGTATTGCTTTCAAATCTTTGATTCCTTCACAGCTAGAGTTCAATATTGGATCAGCAACTAACACACTATCACCTTTGTCATCAAGAAGCTTGTGCTGAAGCAAGTGCCAAGACCTATTACTAAAACCCAGCATTATGGAGTGGAAAGATGGGATAAAAGATTGTTTCTAGCTTCCTCAGGCAGAATTCAAAGAACTTTTGTTCAGGTTTCAACTCCCACCCCTTAGGACATCCCTTTGCAGTTTCTACTTCCAAATCTACATCCTGTCAGTCAGTTCAGCAGTCTATTAAGAACTGTGGATTCATACACCTTATTCCTGAAATAACAAGAACATTTTTGAAGATGCTGTGTTAGAATTTACCCTTTTATGTCAGAAGTCTGTAACAGTACTAATACAGTTAACATCAGAGCCTAAATTATTATCAAGAAATGGAGCTCAAAATGAACAGCATGCCACTGATTATCCTTTTCCCAATATTTTTCCCATTTTCTTACTTTTTCTTCCCCCCTTACCCTTAAGGCTAATCGCATAATAAGAATGTGCAGCATACTGAATACATTCACAGGACTGCCTACTGACACTACTGCCACCAAATGCACTTACTATCTTGGAATGGTTAAGAATTACAGTTTCAGTAGACAAGTTATTAAAACATTTAAAATTTATTTACAATTCTCATCAATAGATACAAAAACCATCTAACACATATTACTAACTATTATACGAATATTGTCTATATATTCAATACAAACTATTTTGTGTTAACAGGTGAAACCACAGGTCAGTAGTGAATATACATTTCTCATGTTTGAGCCAATTATTTTTTAAATACACGTAGCTCGACTGCTAGAACACCCAGTCACTCCTCTTTCCACGTCTGATTCCAGCCTCTTTCACGGAAGGTTCACACAGAGGAAAAACTTAAGAAGCGAGGTCTGGCGTTCGTTACCGAGCCGGAGGTGTATTAACGCGAGCCGTGCACTTGGGCGCACCCGGAGCGCTGCCCGGCCCGGCCCCGCGGCCCGACCTGCCGGGGGATCCCGGAGCAGCCGCTCCGCTCCCCGCTCCCGCAGCCCCTCAGTGCCCGGGCAGCGCCCCGGCCCCCCGCGCCTCCCGCCGGGCTGTGGGATGGGCCGGTGGGTGCGCCCCGGCCCCGCGGTGCCGCCGCCCGCCCCGCCGCCCCCCGGCTCTTACCCAGCACCACGGGCGGCCCCGCGGGCCGGCGGCGCGGCGCTCCCCCGCCGGGGCACGGCAGCGGCAGCAGCAGCAGGAGGAGGAGGAGGCCGAGGAAGGGGCTCCCCGCAGTGCGCGGGACGAGCCTGGCGCCGGCCGGGGGAGCCATGGCCCCAGCGCATACCCCCGGGGCCGGCAGCGCTGCCGCGGCCCGGCCGAGTGCGGCCCCGCCGCCCGGCCCCGCACTAAAGCGCCCGCCCCGCCCCGCCCCGCCGGCCCCGCCCCGCCGGGATCGCCCCGCCCCGTGCGTCAGCGCCGAGCGCGAGCGGCCCCGCCCCGCCAGTGGCCCCGCCCCGCCAACGGCCCCGGAGAGCCCTGAGGGGCGGCCCGGGCTGAGGGAGCGGCGCTGAGGGAGCGCTGAGGGACGAGCGCCTTGGGGCCGCACCACAACATCCACGCTCGTGTGGTCGTGGTGACTGCTGAAAGTAAGGCGCGTTTGCTGCAAAACATGTCTAAAAATAAGTAGTGCGCGAGGGGCATGGTCAGAATGGTTTAAAGGAAAGCAAAAGTTCTTGGAAGAACTGGACGTTTTAGTATTAAACAGTCAAGGGAGTGGGCATCTGATCAGTCAACACCCGAGTAACGTAACAGGTAATTGGTACAGAGTGTCCCCGGGATCAGGCATTTGGCAATACTGGAAAAAAAAAATCATTAGACCTCTATACGTGTGACAAGTACAGGTAGACCTGTAATTACAGTACTTTAAACCAGAAGGGTTGTAAGCCTCTGTGCTTCAGCAGTCCCGGTTAGTGGGGCTGTGTGCCCGGTCTGACGGACAGGTCATTGGCGGGTGTCTGGCTGAGGGGCAGGAGGAGGGGTGTCCGCAGAAGCAGAAACTAAACAGAGGCAAAAAATGGAACTTGGAACCAGTTCCAATCACACCTCGTGATCAGTCATGATTGTGCTGATGGGCAGTACAAGGTTTCCTTGATTCACTTATATATCTCCTCCTGCTGAGGAAATACACATTCTGAGCCAGATGTTATCAATTTGTGCTCAGGGTAAAGCTATTTCTGATAGGGTTACTTTGCAACAAGGGCATTGCTGTGTCTACTTCACAGCTCCCTACATCACTCAGTATGTCTACTAATTTTCAGAAATATTCCTACCTCGAATGCTTAATACACTAGCATGAACAATGTCACAAATGAAGATGTGGGAGTAAAAGACAAGTAGAAGTACACATTGTCAGGTATAAAACTGAAACTCTTCTTACCTCACTGAATTCAGTATTCAACAACTTTTGTAATTCCTGAAGAGAGACATGCCAGAGGTCTGTGCATGAAGGCAGAATCTGGTAAAACAGATACACAGCCTATTGACAGGAGTTTAGAAAAATGATGTTGGCTTGGCATTGACATGGAAGGAGAGACATCTTTCTCCTGAAATCAGACCAAGGAGGAAAATGCAACAAATCATACAAGGAAGCTAAGACCAAGTCTAAATCTAGACTTGCCTTTTTTCTAGGCAGCAGCCACACCTCGTGTATTTACATTCAACAAACCCAAAGACAGGTGCTTAGTCACCATGCAAGTGGTGACATGAAATGACCTCCTACTAAAGCAAACTACCACGTGTGCAAGTATGACTGACTAAAACCAATTGCAACAGTGAAGGTGGTGTAGGAATTAAATGTTACAAAATGCAGCAAAAGACCTTATGGAAGGGTAAAACAGTATTTAAAAGAAACCTTCTTTCAGGCACAGTCATTCTCTCATACTCAAAAGCCTCAAAATGCACATGTCCAAATAGTCTGGCCAGGATCACTTGTCCTATGACACAGGGTTCATGGGATGACAGCTGTCAAGTCTTCTACATCTCCTGGGTTCCCTTGGGTGGCATCAGAGCAGTTTTGGGACAGATTTTCTGTGCCTTTTAGGAGACAGTTATTATGACTTTTTTTTTGTCTCAGCCTAATTTCACCCTCTGTCAATTTTGGGCAAGTTCATTGCCTGTTGTCTTCTTTCTGCAGAGCTGACAGAGGAATGGCCCCTATGATTTTCTGTAAACTTGATGCCATCTTCCCCTTACCAGAAGGCTGGTCTTCTGCTGCTAAGACAGTTCTGCTGTAGGCCTCTCAGAACACAGGCCTTTTGATGTACACACTGCATTTGTCAGCATTTACAAGTATAATTGCTCCTATTTGTGTCCTTGGTTATCACATATGTATCGTTTCTGTAAGCACTGCCTCATGGATTCTACTCAAGATGTCACACAGGCACAATTCCATACTCAATTCAAACCAATCTTAATGTTTACTTCACAAATCTCTGTGCTGTTCTGGCAGCTGGGAAGGTCTTCACACTTCACTAAAAATCTTTACATCTAATTCTTTTCCAGGAGAAGTCCACTAAGCACGTAATAGCTACTCCTCCTGCTCTGCAAGCCCAGGCTCTTCAGATAACAGTCTTTCAGCTGATGAATCAAGTAGTGTATGTTAGTTATTTCTTGATGTCTCCTTTTGGGAGGTCAGGACTATTCACATTCAAAGACATTACATTCAAAGTAAAATAAGCTTTTTGCCTTTGGAAGGTTGTTTAAGTATGCACAGCAAATTTCTGTTTGCACATTGAGTCCCTGGTCCTGTTGTCACGCACACCACCAAACCCAGGCACCTGGACATACGGCATTGCTTTCCAGGAGATGATACCCTGCTATTAATTGAGTCAGTGCAACTATTGCCAGGTGCTGTTTTGTTAGAAGGGAAATCCAGCTCTTTCTCCACAGAGAATGACTTAACAGCAGGGCATTTGTAGATTAACAGCAGTTCAGGAACATGACCAGTCATTTTCCAGGGCAAATTCAAAAAAATACCAGAACCAACTACACATCTGAACTGCCAGTAAAATGCCAGCCAGCTTATTATTATACTAAGTACATGCTTTGTACTGCTTCCTTCACATGTTTTCTATCCAAAGGTGGCTAGAAATGAAAAAAGAACTTATTACAATCGAAACTACTGATAAAAGCAGTACCGCATCTTTTTCACTTCTATATGAACTGGAAAAAAACATTATCCATACTTCGGAGGCCAGTTTGTTGCCACTGTAGGGATTTTTTTTAATATGCATAATCTATCTAATAAGAAAATATTCATTTCTTAAAAAAAACCCCAAACACCACCATAAATAAAAAGTATTAAGCACCAGAAACTACACTATCAGTAATGTTATCTTTGTTTAAGTCTCCATGAGGGCTTGCACTGGCAATCTGACAAAACCCATGAATTGGATATGAGTTTGCACTCTGGTTACTTAAAAGAAACAATCCTTTCCAGAAATCTACTATTTGCTTAAATGTCTTTTATTTGATTGAACAGAATTCTCTGTTTGCTTCTGATCCTTGCCATTTAAGTAGTGTTTGCATTGGCTCAAGTCCCCTCAAACACGATTGTGCTGAGCTAGACACATTAGGAGAAAACAGCCAGTTTCAAAAAAGATGTGAAGACAACCCAAGTGTTGTCACACTGCTCTGTACTTGCATATCAGCACAGTAGCACAGTCCCAGGACACGATGTGACATGCATTTGAACCGGGGCTGCAAAGACACTTCTTCCTTTCACTTCTCCTGCATCCTCAGCACTTCACAGTCACTTCCATATTGTTCCCCACAGTGCTGCTCAAGAGCATCAGGATGATAAACAACACTTGTGTTCCTCATTGTCTTTCAGGCTAAATTTGGTTGCAGTGTCAAACAGTGACCAGAAGAAAAGAGAAGAGGGCAATTGGGTAGTGAGAATACAGAAATGCAGGCTCACATGATCAGAGCCTACCTGCTCACCAGGGTAGGATATCCACAATTAACAGATCCGGTCACTGCCATCTCTCCTATCTTCAAACCTTTAATCCATATAACAGAGATCATATTACTCTTTTGGCTCATGTTTTGCCCTTGCAAACTGTCCATGTAATAGAGCTTCCTAATAAATTGTGAGGATTTAATGACTAAGAAGCTGAATTCAGAACTTGTGCTCAGTCAAAGAGGACTTTATTAGAATCTGGGAGTGAGATTCTCAGCAAGAATGCTGGGACTTAAGGTACTGGGAGTTTTACTCAAGATTTACTCAGAGTTGGTGTTCTGGGTTGGGCCACCAAAGAATTTTGAAATTGAAGCTAGGCAAAATATGGAAGTTTCAAAAAAATAAATGAATGGTGGCACAGGAAGATGGAAAGAGCAGATACAGTTTTGTGTAGGGTGAGTATATGAGGCAAAGTGTTGAAAATGCAATCTATGATGTGATGAAAACTGAGTAGGTTGAACCCTCAGGGATAGTTTACGTCTTGCACAAGTTCCCACAAATTACAACACCTTCCCAGCACATTGCGTGAGCTGTAGAACCTGACATTTTTTGCTGTGCAGACAAACTTGTACCCTCTGAGGCAGAAAGGTGATTGTAATCTGCAGGCAGGATACTTTTCAAGTGAGGAGAAGATTTGGAGAGAAAGCAGAATTCAGCATGATGTTGTTGTGAGGCTTAACATGTCTTCCAAGATGAAGGGTGGTTGGGGAGGGCACAGTGACATGAGTCAGGCAGCAGCACTGCGGGATTCTAGCACACATGTAATGAAAAGGCAAGAGACCACTGTTTAATAAGCACTTCCAGCCAGTGTCACACCTGTTTGGTATCCCAGCTGGGCAGCGTGTCAGGGAAGTTGCTGAGAAATACAGGGCTTAGGAAATCTGCTAGCTCAGAGCTACTTCTGAAGAGACACAACACTGCTGCTGCTACATCCAACTGATTACTGCCAGAATGAACCCATTTCTGGAAACACAACTGTATCCAGAAGAACTGAAGGTGGTGTCAGTAATTTAGTTATGTATTGAGGGGGATGCTGGTCTTTGTCTAGTCTCCTTAGGATTTCACTCACTCATTTTCAGTGCTAAATTGTTCCAACACCCAAGGATGGAAAAAATCTGACACTGATCATATTTGATGAGAGAGTCCAGCCTATAAGAAACAATCTGAGAGTTCCTCTTTAGTGGGTGCATTAAAAAATGAGCCGATGAGAGTTTACCTGAATTTTAAGGAATGTGTAAATTTTTTTTCTTCATTTTATAGTTATGGCTCTTGGGATCTGAAATGTATGGGCAATCCCATTAAAAGATGCATCTGGTTGAGCAAATGGTCTTCTTAGATGTGGACATGTAATGTA